TGGAATACAGCAATACACACACACACACACACAATCATGCATACATCCATACATACATATGCAAAGCATATTCGTTTGAATGGTTTGGGAGTAATTGAGCGCATGTATAATGGCCGCCGTTGCATTGACTTTATGATGAAATGTCGAAAATGGTGGTCTCTACCTACAATGGAGCACAGTGGCGGTGGCGGACGGGCGTATCGTTGTTGCTTGCGCATAATGAGTGCATATAAGACAAAGGCTCGCAGTCAGGCTGACGAAAGGGTTCAACTGCAAGTAGCAAGTAAGCGGTACATTCACATAACGCGCCGAGTCGGCGGGTACTGGTGGGGTGTGCCATTATTGCAGCCGCAGGATGCATGCTTAGGGCTCAATGGCGTGGAACTCAGCACTGTGTGTACATGCGAGCGCTTTGTTGTAGAAACAAACGCACGGCGGAAAATTCAAATATATTGTCGTAAGGCAGAGCTAAGTCCGGAAGCTGAAGAAGGAGTTTGCGTTTATTATACTCTCTAAAGATTATGAGAGCTCTTGGGATTTTTGTGGCCGCCTGCAAATGCAAGCTTCTAGCTTGAAGTGTTTCGTCTCACTCCTCTCGATCCTTTTGAGTGCTTTCTTAGCTACCGCGAAACTTTCGCAAGCCAAATGCGGAGTTCGCAGTGAACGGCTGGCATCCACAGCCGTGATGGAATATATGATTAAAAACATGAAAGGAAAACCCCTTAAAACTACAATCTTAGCAAAAGTTATCTACATCTTCATTGTGAGGCACGCAGAAGTAGAAAGTTTATGGCTCGATCAGAAGAAGCCTGAAGTCGCGCTTGAACTGAGTAGATTCTGTCTTTATCTTTCTCTCTTTGCGGTTTTACGTTTTGAGGTTTTTCCAACAAAAGGGCAGACCTACATTTTAGACTAAGCCGCCTCCGAACAGCTGAAGTTTTTATGTCAGAAATACGCTCGGAGGGGTTGACATTCCGTCTACCAGAAAACCCAGATTACTGCATATCATTCACTGACTTCACGACAGATTTTAATGTAGTTATTCCAAATAGAAACCTTTACGATATGATAATATCAGCAAGCATCGACTCGATTGATTTTTTGCGCACGGGTTCAAAACTAGATATTAGGGTAGGTGGCGGAGCTTACCCAAATGATATTAGTATCTGTAAATCGTTTCTGGATGGGGGTCATTAGGATCCTCAGTGGCATTACAATGAACTCGATTGGGGCCTAGGTTAGCTGCTGCCCCGCAGTCCCTTCAACCAACCAGTCAACAAAAAAATATCGTGTTAACACAACGAACCTACCAGGCATGAAAGCACCCTCTGCGCTGAAGTGCTTCAACTCTCCAACTGAGTAGATTATGACGTTGTACTACGACGGTTCGTTCAGTTACAGTATTCTTCTTTCCTTTCCTTGAGACATAATTATTTCTGTTTAATTTTATTGAGTATTCGACAGGCCAAAAGCGGGGAAACAAGGAATGGAAGATGCAACGGTAACAATATATACTCTAGTAGAAGGATTGAGGACGACTAGAAGAGCGCTGTAACGCTTATTACCAAGAAAGGCTTGAGTCTTTCGGTCTCTGCGATTGCTTAAAATTATTACAAATAACAATTACACAAACAAATTCCTAATACCTAAGGTAACAAACTTCACTTGGGTAAAAATTCCAAAATCTGCGAAAATAAAAAATTGCGCTTAGAGCAAAGCACGACAAAATGGTGTATGAAACAACAAAGTTGAAAAGAAACATGAATGGTAAAAAAGGATTGGGAAAAAATCAGTGATGAGCTTTAAATACAAACGCCGAAGGAAACTGTGTACGTTTGTGTGTGGGAGTACAGCCCCAGAAGATTGTTGGTAGGCAAAAGTAAAGTACATACATATATGAATGGTTCGCAGAGATGCAGAATCACATCATGCTGGCAGTAAAAGTCCAAAAAACCCGCTTCGTTTTTATCCTGCCTTCACTTTTCACCTCAATGTTTCGTTAAATTACAAGAAATCCTTTCGGCTCGCATAAATGCTTTTTTTCTACCTCAGTCGACATGGCAGGAACAATGCTGAAGAGATGCAAGGCTTGGATATTCCCATACAACACGTAAATGCTGGCTGTTGGCAGCTGGGGTGCAAGTGGTTAAGAGACGAGCGTAAGACGAACGAACAAAAAAGTGCTCTTTAAGTTCGGAAAAGGAAATAATTTGACCATTTGTAAGGGGAGAACATGGCGGCGTGCAAATGTATTTATTTTTGTTTTATTCTTGCCAGTGTTGCCAGGTTTTCACAGAATATTGAGCATATTCTCTAGCGCCCGTATGAGCGGAGTATTCACCTAAGAGCCTGAGTTATGAAGTTAAATAAGCAACTGACTTTTCGGGCAGCAAGATCCAAGCGAGGGCAACTTACGTTATTAATAAAGATCAATATGACACTGATAGATAGAGAAAAGCGGTAGACAATGTGGGAGTAAAGTCGGGTCATTCTCGATCCGGTTGAACTCTCGAATAAACCAACCCCAACCTCTTTTTGACTGTTATTAACGAAGTTTGCTTAAACATGTGATAGGCCAAACAGTGATCCCAAAGTATCGCAGTCTCTTTGAAAATATATGCGTACTTCATCTTGTCAGTTCGCCCGACCTGCAATTTTCCTCCATATATCCGGGATTGGGTCATGATAGAAAACACTTTTGCCGCATCTCCACGGAATCTGTAAGCCGTCAGCGTAAGCTAACAAAGGGAGTATTTTAATTCCTCTTGAATCAGCGACCTTCATATGAGCGGATTAACAAAAGTTCGGTAAGTTCACAGGAAAAAAAACAAAACTTCTTTTTGCATTTATTCGTAATCTTTGTCCTTTCTTATCTTCTCTGCATATTTGCTATTGATTTCAATGCATTTCTTAAGCCTATAGATCCACTTCTGAAAACAGTCTTCAAGAACTTGCTTTTTAAGCTTATCAAGTTCAGCATTAACCGCGTTAGGTATCCCCTCGTTGCTATTAAAGACTTTTCCTTTAAATTTATTTGTAATTTTTGGAAATAACCAGAAATCACTAGGTGCCATATTCAGGGAATATGGTGCTGGACGTATTTCTTCGATCCCAAAAATCGTAATAAAATTACTCGTTACACTACTGAAGTGTGGGATGGCGCGTTGTCAGCCTGAGCCTTTTCCAGTGGAATAGTAGCTACGATTTTAGATCGGGTGAGGTAAACTGACATCACTACTTTTGCTTCTGTTGGGCTCCATACCATGGACTGTTGTTTGGTTTCAGTATCGCACTTAAAGAATCAAGACTCGTCACCAGTGAAGACTTTACCAAAGTTGCTAGACTGACCAATTTTGGGTTTGTTTAGGAAAAATTAAACAAAATGAACTCGAGCTTCTTTTTGGGTCTCATTTAAAATTCGTGGTACACATCGAGCATATTTCTTAGTGTATCCCAGATGATTACTTAATATCCGCTATACAGCTATTGTTATTGTGTCAGTCGTTGGTCTTCGTCAATTTTGGACTTCTGCAGAACTACAGTGACGCCATCAGTAGAAGATTTTGGTCGACCTTTTCGAGCTCATCCTCTATAGAAAAATGTTCGGTCTAAAATCTGCGGTACCACTTAGAAATAGTCTTAAAAGACGGTGCAATCGTTCCATATGCAATTTGGCATTCACTGAATATTTGTATTGGCTGTAAATTACGCCGAAACGCGAAGAGAATCGAAGAGAGAACGACGAATTTCTGTTTGCGTTGGTGGTGGCATTTCATCTGCCCTATCCGCAGCTATCTTTCTATCGTTCAAAAATTCGAATGGAAGACTAATAAAGAAATTGCAAAGATTTTGGTATTTTTCAGATTTAACAAAAAAAAATTGAAAGTCATCAACTTACCGAACTTTTGTTAGTCCCCTCGTATGTATATAAAATCAAAACAAAAAAATAGTTTTTTGTAATATGAAAAATTAGTTTCTCAGGCGAAGTTTTATATGAAAATTAAGAGTTTACTTTGGTCTTAAATTTTCTTTCATTGAAATTATATACCAAAAATTTAGGTAACTTTTAAACATTTCATAGTGGAAAAGGGATAACAAAAGATTTTTCAAAAATTTACATACACGTATTGAGTGTTATTTCTAAACTCATCCACATATGTATACATATTGTGTTATATATACCATAATCTTCGAACATGTGAATTTACCGCTGTGGGATTTCAAACGGGGAAAATTTTTGTGTAACACTTTTTCGCGCTACCTGCTGTGTGAACGTGTGTATGTATGAGTGTATCTATAAATTTCGGCGAAGGCGCGAAAAGGTCAAAGCAAGAAGAAAAGCAAGTTGATCTTCGCTTGTCCATACGTTGCAGTCAACTCAAATAGCATAAACTATGAGTGCTAATTTTATTGAGTGAAAATTACTTAAGCAAACCACTGAATATAAATATTTTTTATTTATTAAATAGTAAATAAAAGTTGAAAATTTTAAAAATATTTTCTCGAATTAAAGTACTGAATAGTAAAAGTTTTGATGCTTTGCATTTTTTAATTTAATTTTTTCTTCTTTTCTTCGTTTAAAAAAATTTATATTTTTCTTAATTAAAAAAAAAATTATAAATATTTGCATCATTGGGAAATTATTGTTCTAATATACATATCTATATCAATATAAAATATCTTTGTAACGCGTTTATAAAACTAAGAGTTCATTGGAAAGAAAAAAAATAGAAAGAAGAAAAACCCAAACTGGATCTGTTTTTAATTTTGGCTTCTAAATCTCCTACAAGATTTTCATTTTATTTTTGTTGTAAATTTATTGGAACGTGCCAAAATAAAGGATCTTTCATTACAATACTCAATGCAAGGACATCTGCCTGCATAGTTTTTGTCTTCCTTTTGTCAATATTTTCAAATAGAGTTATAGAGCATCCTTTGAGTGAGCGAAAGTAATGAGCAACTCTTTGTAGCCTCAATAGTACTTGAAGGACTTTCATTCAGTCTTCGAGCGACCAACGGATGGTTTAATTTTTTTTGGATTTGCTGATTTGGCATAAATATTTTAAAATGACGACTTTATTTAGACCAAAATATGTATATCAGGACTGTGTCATAATGCAACATAAATGCTATGTAAGCCATGGGATTGCGTATACCATTGATGGCAAGCTCGCGCATAATATTCTCGTATCAAATGTTCCTGAGGAAGTGAGGAGACTTTTTTTTGCACTAAAACTTTATTTAATTTTTCAATTATTGTGAACAAATTTGTGATTTTTTTTAAACGATTTACTTTCTTTTTTATTTAAGTTAACGCCTTTGAAACTAATGAAATATTTTCGTGCATTTGGCGAAGTATTTGATGTGATGAATACCCCAATGGCAAACGAAGCAGCCATAATATTTACTGAGGCTGACAGCGCCAGCAGGTAAGTTTGACATTAAAGATAAACTGTGATAAGGATATGTATTATTTCCACTGTAAAGTAAATTTCTTTATACGAAATGAATCAATCAAATAAACAAATAATAACAAAAAAATTAAATGAAATATAAATATATGTAATTAAAAAAAAAAATAATAATAATGTAAAATGATTAATGAATATCATTTTATAGATATAATAAATTAAAAAAAAATTAATTATAAACTAAAACATTAAAAGGGATGAAAAAAATAAATTAAATAAAAATGGAACAAAAAGTGGATTAATACGAAGTTAAGCCAAATACTGATATAAAATAAAATAAAATGAGGGACAATAAAGCAAAAAAATGTAAATTAAAACGAAAAACTTAACTAAATCAATATCAAATAACATAAAAAAAGAAATTAACTTGAAAAAAATATTAAAATTAAATAAAATAATATAAAATTAATTAAATTAAATTATTTACTATTATGTTATTTTTAGTTTAATAAAAAGCAAAAAAAACTGAAACAAATTTAAATTAAATAGGTTAAAATAACATGGAAAACAATAAAAAAGAACAAACTAAAATAAAATAAAATAAAAAATAACACAAAAAAAATTAATTAAAACTAAATAACACAAAATAAAATAAGAGAAAATAACACAAAATGAAGTGAAATAAACAAATAATTAAAACAAAAAAATACAATAACAATAAAATAAAAACTTCAATTAAAACAAAAAGAAGATAAAAATATAAATAAACTGAAATAAATATAAAATAAACGAAATAAAACAAATTAAAACAATATTGAAAAAATTTGAAATAAAAAAAAAACAAATTAAATAAAACTAAATAAAATAAGAAATAAAAATAATAATAACAATATATAAGGTCAAGTAAAAAGTAAAAAAAATATAATAAACTAAAATAAAACTTAAAAAAATAATTAAAAAATCATAAATTAAAACAAAAATTAAATAGAATATATTGAAAACTTTTAATAAAAGAAAACGGATAAGAAAAAGATATTAAGATAATTATAAGAAGAAAAAACATAAAAATTTAATTAGAATTAAACAAAACAAAAAGCAAAAAACTATACAAAACCATATAAAATAAAACGAAACAAATCACAAAAAATATAGTTAAATTACATTAAATTAAACATATTCAAATAAAAAGAAAATTAAACAACACTAAATAAAAATAACACCCAAAATATATAATATAAGAAAAATAAAAAAAAATTATATGAAATGAAGAATATTATAAAATTAATATATACAAAATAAAATGAAATATACTGAAACAACAACTTATAATGACATAAAACAAGAAAAAATAAATTAATAAAATGAAAAAACCAAAAGCCAAAATATCATAAAATAGCGTAAAATAATTAAAATGAAAGGAACCCAAAGCTTAAATAAATAAACTATAACAAAATAAAAAAACACAAATAACAAATAAATAAAAAAACATAACAAATATTCAATTCATACAAACAACAAGGACTCGTAGTTTACTTAATAAAAGTAATATAAAGCATGGCCGCAAAAACAAATTATAAAAAAAGTTAAATAAATCTAAACAAAATAAAATTAAAAAAATAATATATATATTATATTGAAATAAAAACTTTAAATAAACTAAAACAAGAAAAAATTATATTGAAATATGACAAAATAAAAAAAATAAAGCAATATAAAACAAAACAAAACACAAAAAATATATAAAACCAAATAGAATAAAATATGAATATAATAAATAGATACAACATTGAAAATAAAATAAAATTAATTAAAAAAAAACTAAAGCTAATGAAACCAAATATAAAAATATGAATAAAAAATTAAATTAAACTAAATAAAATAATATAAAATAAAATAACACAAAATTAAATAAAAAACATAAGGTAAAGTAAATTTAAAAAAAAATGTAATTAAAATATATTGAAAGCTTTAAATAAAATAAAACAGAAAAAATTTATTAATAGAAATAAAAATATAAATTAAAACAAACTAAAATAAAATAAATTAAATTTAAAAAAATAAACCAAAAAAAAAATAGAACTAAATGAAATAAAAAAATATAATATAAAACCTAATAAAATAAAATGTAACAAAACAAATATAAAATTAAATAAAACAAAATAAAAAATAAAATAATAATTAAAATAAAACAAAATAAAATCAAAAAATTAAATTAAATAATACTAAAAAAATCAAAAAATAACATATATTAACATAGTTTTAAAAAATAATAAAAACAAATTAAAATAATTTGCAATAAAAGCTTGAAGTAAAGAATAACTAGAAATGGAAATATAATGAAATAAATAAAAAAGTAAGAAATAATAATATAAAATAATCAAATTAAAACTAAATGAAATAAAATAAAATAGGATAAAAAAATTAGATGACTTAAATGAAAACCAAATAAGTCAAAGAACATAAATAAAATCAAATTAATTAATTTTATATCAAATCAGACATAATAAACAAATAAAAAATAAAAGAAAATAAAGTTCGGTTATGAAATCATTTAAAAATAATATTATGATATATGAAAAAAATAAAAAATGGGATTGATATTAACATTAAACTAAGTTGATTGAAATGAATTAAAATGAAATTTATAAATAAAATTAAATAATACTAATTGATTAAAAATTGGCGGCCGCGGTATCCCAGTGGCTAGCATTGCGTATTAACATTCGGAAGGCTCGGTTTCAAATACTGATCCCACCAACATCCAAAAGTTATGGAAAATTAATTTAAATAAAAAAATAAGTTAAATTTTCTAATTGCTGTTGCTCCTCGGAACGGAATGTTCAGGCGTAAAATTGATTAAATAAACTTAAGTTAATTGAAATTAATCTAAATAATAAAATTATATACAATTATAATTGATGTAATTAAATTAAAGATTTAAAATAAACTAAATAAAATTTTAAACCAAATTCTGATAACCTAAAATATAAGAATATAACATTAAATCAAGTTAAAAAAAAGTATATATATAAAAAAAATAAAAAAAAAAATTGTTGTACAGACAACATAAATATCATAAAATAATAAAAAAATAAAACACTAAAATATTATATATCTTAGTAAGGCGTTTAATAAATAATTTAAAATAAAATGAAATAAAAATCTGAAACTAAGCAAAATAGTTTATTCAAAATTGAATGAAATAAAACATAAATAAAGAGAAAAAATAATATAATATAATTAATTATAAAATAAAAAATAAAAAAATAGAGTATCCTAATTAAATGAGATTAGAATAATTTAAGACAAATTACTTAAAACAAAACTAAGTTAAAAAAATGGAAGAAATAAAAGTAGAAATCGAAATTCAAGTAAAATTAAAATAACGATAAACAAGAGATAAAGAAAAGATATCAAATAAACTAACTTAAACTAAAAGAAAGTATGTAGAAAATATTTATAAAGGGTGGTTTTTTAAGAGCTATTGGAAATTTTTTCAAAAAATCTTACATTAAATTCAGAGAAATGCATAAAATTTTTATTTAAATAGTATGGTCCATATATTATAATTTAATATTTAAAGATTATTTTATGCAAATGTTGACCGTGGCAGCACCTCAAATGGTCCATTCGCTTAGTCCAATTTTGACATACTTTTTCCAACATTTCGGCCAGTATCTCACGATCAGATGCTTCATGATGTTGTCCTCCAATGCGTCAATGGGCTTGTCTATATAGACATTTGATTTAACATAGCCCCACACAAAATAGTCTAAGGGCCTTAAACCGCATGATCTATGCGGCCGATTGACCAGTCCCGAACGTAAAATAAAATGTACACCCAACCCCCGTCTCAATAAGTCCATTTTTACGCGTGCTGTGTGGCATTAAAAACGCTACCGTGAGGTTCATCATTCACAGTTACGTTACAATTCGAGTGATCTTTGAAAAAGTACGGTCCGATGATGCCACCAGTCCATAAAACGCAAGATACATTGGTAGCTCTTGCAATGCTTCTGGCTGATCTTCACCCCATTATGCCAAAAATGAGCTTCGAAGTGCGCGCGCGATGAACTTTCTTAACAGAGCACGCATTTTGATAATTAAATTCAATAATTCGCAAGCGTTGTTCGTTTGTGAGACGGTTAAATTATAGACCAAATTGAAGATGTTCGACACCAATACAAAACACGAAACGTGCGTCAGCTGTTTAAACCAGTGTTGCCAAAAAGTTAAATCACCGGCCGAGCTTCTCCTACAATTTGTGGTTTTGCATCTTGCTGCTTTTTCCGAAAAAAAAGAGGGACCTACAGTTTATACTAAGGTCGATGGTTCTATTATGAGGAGGTTTTTTTTATTTCATGTCGGCAATATACTCATAAGGGTGAATAGTCCTTGTCGAGGGGTGACCGAAATTATAATATTCAACTTAATTTTTTTACTTAACCTAATTTCTTATAACTTTTTGGATGTAAGTACGACACTAGGTTTAGAACCAGAGTATTCAGCTACCGCTGCCGCCATGTAGAATAGAAAATATTAAATCAAACTTAGATAAATTGAAGATGAAAAAATTTAAAATGGAAAATATTAAAAAAAATTACTTACTTCTTACTTACTTACTTTACTGGCGCAGACACCGCTTACGTGATTTTGGCCAATTAACAACATTGCGCTATTGGTTTCTTCTTTTTGCAATTTGACGCCAATTGGAAATACCAAGTACAGCCAGGTCCTCCTCTGGTCTCTCTAACGGAGTGGAAGTCTTCCTCTTCCTCTGCTTCCACCGGCGGGTACTGCACCGAAAAAACTCAAAGCTGGAGTATTCGCATCCATCCGGACCAGGTGACCTAGCCAGCCTAGCCGATGCTTCTTGACTCGCTGAACTATATCAATGTCCAAAAGGCCCATAAAACTTGCGCAAAACATTTTTCTCGAAAACTCCTAGCGTCGACTCATTAAATGTTGTCATCGTCTATGCTTCCGCACCAAATAGCAGGACGGCAACGATGAGGAACTTGTAGATTTTGGTTTTCGTTCGCCGAATGAGGACAATACTTTTCAATTGCCTACTCAGTCCGAAGTAGCACCTTTTGGCAAGAGTGATTCCACGCTAGATTTCAAGGCTGACATTATAGTTGGTGTTGATGCTGGTTCCTAGATGGACGAAAATATCTACGACTTCAAAATTATGACTGTCTACAGTGACGTGGGAGCCAAGTCGCGAATGCGATGACTGTTTGTATGATGACAGGAGATATTTCGTCTTGTCCTCATTTACTACCAGAATGGGTCTGGTCTCGCTTCTTTATCAAGTCTGGAGAAAGCAGAACTAACGGCGCAGCTGTTGAGGCCGATAATGTCAATATCATCGGCAAACGCCAGCAACTCTAAACTCTTTTAGAAGATTTCACCTTATCTATTCAGCTCTGCAGCTCGTGTTATTTTATCCAGCATCAGATTGAAGAAATCACACGACAAAGAGTCACCCGGTCTGAAACCTCGGAGAGGTCCTTTCCAATTCTGACTGCACTGCTGGTGTTGTCTAGCGTCAGCTTACACAGCCAAACAAGTTTTGCGGGGATACCGAATTCAGAGGGCACCTCCTTCGTGCTGTCGAGGGCGGCTTTAAAATCGAGGAAGATGTGGTGTGTGTCGATTCTCTTTTTAACTATTAAAATAAATTAGCTTAAGTAAAAAATGTTGCAGTGATTTTGGGTGATTCTTTAGTATTGTATTTTAATTTTACTAATTATTATGTACATATAAGTCAAACAAATATACAATCAATGAAGAAACAGTCATTGATTAAATTTAATCTAATATTTTTCATTCATAGTTCATATTTAATCAGGCTTTAATTGATCAGCTTAATCAGTTGACTGATTAATTGCATAATTTTATTTGTAAAACCCGAAGAAGAGATAACAAAAAACACTTACATATGTATATGTGTTCTATATTATATATATATATATTTTTTTTTTTTTTGTAATTTTCAGAGTGCTCTTGAAAACCGAACATGTGTTAGATGGTTTTACACTCGAAATTTCGCCGCACGATAACTATACGCGGCCCATTGACGACATGAAAAGCAATCGCGAACAGTTATTTGACGATACGGATGCGTTATTTAATAAGAATAATATACTTTCGCTACATTCCGAGTGCCTAGAGCATGTTTTAAGTTTCTTAGAAATTGCCGACCAATTACGTTTCGCGAGCGTCTGCCCGACTTTTCGTAATGTCTTTAAAAGCTATGCCAAACGGACATATAAAAAAACTTTCGATATGGTGAAGTTGTCTTCCTTGGGAACTTCGCACTTACACGAATTTTTATATATAACAAGCGAATTCAACACGTCACTGCTATTTAGGGGTAATGTATCACCTGAACAACAAAATCGTATATTGTGCGCTATGCATCAGGCTTGCCCCAACTTGACCCGCTTGCACCTGCGAATCCCTTACATGAACGATGAAGCGTTGCGTGAGGTGACATTTTTGAAATACTTAAAATTACTTGATTTGAACGGCGCTTCGGAAACTACCGTAAATCTTACAGGTAGGAAAAATAATTTAAACACGAGTAGAATTAATATGAAAATGTAGTATGATTGCTTATTTCTTATGAAATATTAGGTAAAGTAAAAAGTTCGTTCGGCATTTTTATTGATTTTTCAAAATATGATAACTCTGTGTATTTTTGTCCGATTTAAGTCAAATATGCGCCGTTTTGTTCGTAAATTTGTTGCCAACGAGATGTTAACTTCATTATACCCCTCTCTTAGAAGGCTGCCTCCCTATTGACATAAAACTCGGAGAGTCAATTTTCACATGTCTCCCTTGAGGCCAACTTCTCACCATTAAGCGCGTTCGCCATGAACAGGAAAAGATGGTAATCACTTGGTGTCAGTTCCGGACTATAATTTGGGTGCATTAAGACCTTCCATCCGAGCTCCTGGAGCTTCTTGCGCGTCATCAAAGACGTGTGTTTCCTGGCTTTGTCCTGATGGAACACAATTCCGCCTCTTTTGATCAAAGATGGCCTCTTCTGGTTGAGTGCTGCCTTCAAGATATCCATTTGTTCGCAGTAGAGGGCCGATTTAAGCGTTTGGCCATAGGGAAGCAGCTCCTAGTAGATGATTCCTTGATAATCCCACGAAATACACAGCAAAACCTTCCTGGCCGTCAACCGGTCTTGGCCACCGTCTGGCCGCTTTCCCGAGTTTTGACCACGACCGTTTGCGCTCGATGTTGTCATAAGTGATCCATTTTTCATCGCCACTCTTAATCCGCGCTTCAGAAACGGGTCAATTTTGTTGCAATTCAGCAGCGCTTTGGAGATGTAAATTCGGTCTATCATGTTTTTTTGCGTTAGTTCGCGTGGCACCCAAACAAATGGTTTTCTAGCTTATCTTTAGTTTCTCAGCAATTAAATAAGTGCTCGCGTGACGGTCTGTTTCCACTATTCCATGATTTTATCGTTATTTTCGTTATTTGCGTGGTGCATCTTTGACATCGAAATTACCGGAAAGGAACATAGAAAACCACTTTTGTGCTACACGCTCGTTTACAGTATCGGCCCCATAATTTAAATAAATTGTTTCAGCCGCTTTGGCTGCTTTTTCGCCTTGATCGAAGAAAAATTGTAAACTATCGCGAATTTTCTTCTCTTTGCTGGTGTCCATCTTTGACGAGCGCTCACAACGTACTAAGTCAATCAATCGAAAAAGTGTCAAAGACGAACGAAAAAACAGCGCCGTCTAGTATGGCATGATGCGACACGTAACACTAGTACTATGGACAATAATGCCATCACTTAGAAAAAAACCGAACGAACTTTTTACTTGACCTAATATAGATTTGTTCTTTTCACACACAGGAAAATACTTTGACCAATTGCAAAATTTGAGTACATTATACATCAGAAATTGTACTAATATTAAACAACGAAATATGTTACTTCTCTCCAAATCTATCTACAAAAATCTACGCACAATTGACATACGCGGTTGTCCACAATTAAAAAAACAATTCTTCGACTGTCTGGTCCAGTGGGGTGAAAACCTGTGGCAAATATTGCTTAGCATACAGACGGATCCCTATGAGCAAATATTCCTTTTGCCACGCCTAAAATGTATATATTTGAACAGCGAATACACAGAAGATGAAATAGATGCTTCGTATTTCTATAAATTGGCTAAATTAAAGGGTCATCAGATGGAAATCTTAAGGCTTGACACTCCCAGCTGTTTGACGAAGAAACATTTGTTCCACATTGCCGAGTTGGGTAAATTGAAAAGGCTTGAGGTCAGCCGTAACCCTGCGGTGGATGATGATGTCATGCAAGAGTTTTGCAAATTGAAGTGTCTCGAAAATTTGGATATTCTTGGCTGTGGGAATGTAAACAATGCGGCACTTACCAAGTTGGTGGAGAGCTGTCCACAGTTACGGCATATAAATATTAGGTATTGTAGAAGACTAACATGCAAATTTGTCTTCGATTCGATCCCCATTCTACGAAGCAGCGGGAGAAAGTTGAAGATAACGGTGCAAAGTTCACACTTGGAGATAGCCTCCATGTTTTACGTAAGTAATTATAGAAAAAAAATTTAAATATATACCTTGATGCCTTATTCACAACACTCTGAGATGACATTGTATGTATGTATGGTTGTTACTTTTTTCAGTGTCAAACTTGTGTTGAGGGCGAAATCGAAAAATTGCTGCAAATAGAACGCCTTGAGCCAAAGCCTGATGTATATGCAAAGTATTATGAATTTGAAACGGATGAGCTTGATAAAATTGTTAAAGAATATTGCCACTGAGTGGAAAATAATGAAATTAGTAAATAATAATTAAAAGTAATAAAAATATATATGTACATGTAAATATATTATTATCGTAGTATGTAACTTTATAACCTAACTGTTCCTAGAAGAAATATAGATAATATAAATAAAAAAAAAAAAGTTTTTCAAAATCTTGAACACTGCAGTTATTTAATCAAATATGTAAATAAATATGTGTAGAAAAGCCACTCTAAGATTTTCGAAAACGCAATTTTTTTGTTTTGCCTACTGGGTACCTCTCAGCCCATAGATATGATATTCAATTGGTTTCGAAGTGAAAAAAATATTCATTATTTCAAATAGCTAAACTTTTGAACTGTTTTGCTGCAGCGCCACAGAGCATGTGCTGAGTCCACTAAAAACTTCAAACGCGTTTCTCTCAAAATTACATTTTTCAAACTGGAAGGGCAAATTGTTAGGATTCTATTGCATCGAGTTCTTTGAATTTTTGATGGTAGGTTTACAAGCACATTTATTTCTTGAAGCAAGTAAGTAGCCGTTTTTCGATTATTTTTAAATAATTTAGTGTGAAAAGCAGTATTTTTAATTAAATTAAAGTGTTAATTAAAAGAAAAGTGTGCCGCTTTAACAAAAATTAGTTAAAAAATAAATCCGTACGCACTTCCAAAGACCATAATCATAAAATGTTTTTTTCTCTGTGTCAGGTCTTCATCCTTCAGAAGAAATCGTTCCTCCCGTGGACGCCTTTCAAAAATACATGGCTTAAATAATGGACTTTATCACCGCAAATTTGTAAGAAAATAATAATCAAAAATTATTTTTTTTTACCTTGTTAAATGTACAATGAAATGGTTAAATGGAAATTTATTCCTTTTCCCTATTCCTATTCCTGCAATAATTTGAAGAAAAAATCTATTTTCATCCTCTCAAGTGGTTTTACCCCTTAAAAAAATTTAAATAAATTAAAGAAAGTCGAATTTAATAAAAATAAGTAAAATAAATAAAATTCATCATCACCATCATGCTCAGTCGTGGGTTAGGAGTTCAAAAGGTTACCCGCGGCAAAGCATGCCTGTCGTAAGAGGCGACTAAAATCCAATAGTTCCCGTGAAAGTCGGGTCTTTATACCGGAACGACCCGGATTTTCGTCCAGCCAAAGACTGTTACTCCCGCAACATTACCCAAAAACTACTTTCGGGAATATTTTTGCGCTTGCAACAACAACAAGAACAACAACGACACCCAAGAAAAGCGCATTCCACCTGATATTAGATCTAGTAAAAAGTTATCCATTATTTTTGCATTAAATTTCAGGCTTTATTTACCGTAATTAGAATTATTATTAATCTCACTTATGCATTGTTATGTTTACATTACATTTACGACATGACATTACGCCTTTCTCATAGAAACCGTTATGCCTATTGATTAAAAATTGGTACAGTTACAATTGATTTTCACCAGCTCACTCGCCATAGACAGAAACAGCCGGCAATCGCCTAATGCGACTATAAGCTGGATGCATAATAACATCCCAACTAAGCCGTCGATAATTCTGGAGAGTCATTATCGACGTGTGTGGTCTGTCGGCATTGTCCTGACGAAACACAATTCCCATCCTATTAACCAAAGCTGAGGGCTGCCGGTCGCTTGTTTACTTCATGCGGCTAATTTTCTGACAGTGCAGATCCCAAGTTAAGAATTCGGTTGTAGGAGAATAGCTCATATTGAATGATTCCTTATCAGTTCCAACAAACACATCAAAAAAACCTTTCTAACCGTGAATATTGACTTGGAGAAGGTTTAAGCCCACTCACAGCTCTTCAACCATGATCGTTTTAGTTTGACATTGCTGTGAGTGATCCACTTTTTACAGCACAAGTCACCTTCCGCTGCAGAAATGGGTCGAGTTTGCTACGACTCAGCAGCGATTCGCATATGGAAATTCAGTGTAGGAGGTGTTTTCTGGTTAAATCATGTGCCATCCATACATGGAGCTTCCAGCCATTTTCTAGTGGTTCCAATTGTGCTCGCTTGACGATCAGATGAAGACCCGAGAATTTCCATTATTTTACCAAAATTTTCGACAATTGGTCTTCCACACCGTGGACCATATCTCACATCTTACACTGGGTGCTTCATTGAACACTTTAAAAGCCACACCTATCCAGTCGGACGACATAGCCAGGATAGCCGCCATCTGTATGTCAGATCCTCCGCTTTTCTTGTACAACCCATTGTGCAATCATCTAATTTATTTGACACTTCCAATGCGCAACGGAACATAAAAGTTCCGCGAGGGACTTCGGGGGGTCGGGGAGATGACAGGAGAAGTTTTGTCTTACCCTCCTTCGTTACCAGAGCTATTCACTTCGTTTCGGCGCGGTTGTAAACGCCAATAAACTTTATAAAATGGAATAAAAAAATTAAATCAAATGAAATTATTTCATATGAAGGTTTTCGACAGTTCGTCCATCTCTATGGGTTATACCGAATAATATTATGGGTCTTCTGTTGAGGAGGGCAACAGGTGCTAACAATTATCCGGTGAGACCTTCAATGTGATAGAGTTACGTTTCATAAGACCCGTAACTGGTAGGTCATACGAAATTTCATTAGAAGCCCACTTTTGCGTAATTCTCCGCCTGGGTTGATCTTATCCCACCATTTCCTACTCACGGTCGGTTACCGCAGGTACAAGAGCGCTGCTTTGACCTAAAAGATCTTCCTTAACCAATACAAAACGGACAACGCCTAACCTCAATGCCCAGACAGAGCTGCATGTGCGTTGATGGGTTACGAAATCTCTGCCGAGTACCTTACATGCTGCTGGCAAGCACGACAACAATAGCAAAAAGTGGTTTGTCCGTGCAAATATTTTCCGCAAACACTTTGCTATTTGCATTTACATTTGAGCAGTAAAGGAGAAGCACACACACACACACACACACACATTCAGCCATACAGTTGACACTTTGCACGTGCTCGCGCGCTCGCCAACGACGGCGTAACTAGCCATGGCTAGTGTGCCGTGTGTGTGGCCCGTTTAGCAGGTACGCATGTGAAGACCTGTGCGAATGCCTTGCAACGCCTAGCAACCTGCACATATGAATATGCATGTCCGTTGTAAATATGTATCTATGTACATACATACGCTTATGCATGTGGTACAAGCGTAAGAGTTATGCGTGGTCTTCTTGTACGAAACCATTTTTGCGTTGGCGTTACATGTTAGACGAACACCTGTCCCCATCGAACCCCACCTTAGTTAGGCAGTTGTTTTGCCATGTCGTAGATACCTGTTGTTGTGGTCATAACTTTGTAGCCGCGCAACAACGCACGGCACTCAATTCGATGAGCAAGTGCATGCATAGATGTTGACCTGAGACGCTATAGAGTAGAGGTGCTGGTACCGAAACCGAAATCGAAAGCAAATTTTCACACTCGACTTTATAGTTGAACCAGCCCGATACCGAGGTATCATACACAGGCTACATTCAGTAAGACCGATGTGGAGATAAGTCTTCTGGAATTGTAGTCGGTGGTACAAAATTCACTGTAAACTTCAAGCTCTTTCAAACATAGTTACCTGGGATATCATGTGCCCATGTGGTTATATTCACGAAAAGATACTTAATCCTCATAAATTCATTGTGATCTATCCACCAGAAGTTATATAACGGAATAAAGTTAAAAGCCGCCTGCTTTGGACTTACAGCAGGTGCAGGAAAAAGATTCGAACTTCATTCTAGTCGCTGTGTCTACCGGATGATAGCAAACATATTTAGAGTCCAGACTTAGGCTTTTCAATTTATTGGTACTGCAGCTCGAAGCTCGTGGCAATAGTCTTACCCCTCTTTCTGAGGAAAATAACGAAAGCAATCGGAACTGAAGACGTTTATGTAATTCTTTTGGGATAGGATGGGCTGCAAAGTTATCGCAAACTCATGCCAGAGTTCATGCCGGAGTTGTCAAATCTATCAAATCTAGGTACCGGAGTCGGTGTGCGTCCAGAACACATGGAGAGGATAAGTAGGAAAGTTTATAGTGCGCCATCAGAATCATCAAACAGCGATTAGGTATGGGACAGAATTGTATTTTAAGAACCGAAGCCGGAAATTTATCGTATCGAAATCGAGATCGGGTGCCGTTATACAAGAGCATGTGCATATGTCTGTATGTTTGCATTTAATGGTCAATACTACATAGATTTCTTACTAAGCAAAGATACTTAGTATACATAATGCGTTCCAACAACAACAACAACAATAACAACACCAGCAATGCTAATGCGCGTGTCATTATTTTCCACAATTTCCTTGCCAACTTTGAAAATGGCAAAGCGCTGACGAACTTCATGGTAAGCCCCTGATGCATTATCATCACAAATACAAATACAACAATAGCGAAGCGGCTGATGCTTGACGCCGATGACCATATGACCGACCGCATGGCCCCAAAAACGATTGAAACTGCAAAAGCAACATATTTCCCTAAAATCCAGAGTCAGAAAGAGAAGCAGAACAAGCTGAAAAAAAATAAGAAGAAGAAGAAGAGAAGAAGGGAAAAGAAGAAGAAGCATATGAAGTTGAAGTGACAAGGGAATCACACATACATACATATTTGAAGTTGCAGTTGCATGTGGATTTTGTATATAGGCGCAGTATCGCAGCCACAAACACACCCAGACACACACACACATACATACACATACACCAGCTTACATTGGCATAGTAATCGCGCACAGATATGGCAAAATGATACGCATCCAAACGCTAAGTATGCCATACGAGTACATATACCACAAGCTATGTTAGCCCCAGGCCAGCGCGGTCTTAGCTAAGCGGTTTAGTCTAAACGCAGCCACTTGGGCTCCAATGGAAATTTTTCGCTTTCTTTGGCACTAACCGACTGCCGTCTCAGCAGTGCCTTTGGTCATACACATATGTATATGGCTGCATGCATACGAGCTCATACATAACTGAACGTCTGCGATATGTTTCCGCATGCTTCTTGTGAAAACAATAAATTCTTTTCACTGGATTTGTTATCGCTTGTTGCTCGGTTCGGTTTGGGTTCGGTTGCTTGGAAGGTGCAAGTTGCGCAAATCAAACGGTGAATGGATGGTTGTATCGGTGTTTGGTCTGCGTGTCTTCCGAGGAACTAAGAAGAAAGTG